CCCCCCCCCCCCCCCCCCCCCCCCCGGCCAAATCATGGACAGAGAATTTGTTATCAACGGAGGGGCAGGTAGAGAAGACGACAGACAAGTACGAATGGATAAAGTGAAGAGAAGGACTTAGAAAGCGGCGAGAGAGAAGTTGGGGAGTTACGTACACACCAAGATCGTCAAGGGAAGAGAACGACACGAGAGTATGGAGACGGTCGCACAATTGCAGTGTCGGGATCGAAACCAGTTTACAGTAAGTAGTTCGTCACCAATGCAGAATAGTGCGTGTTTAGAGTGTATCGCCCCCAACGGCGCAGGGAATGTTCTCCAATTAACCATGAGTCGAGTTAGGACACGACGTGGGAGTCCAGGCTCTGTCTTCATCGTAGCCTCTGCTGGGCCTTTTTCTACGTTAGGTGGCGGACCAAGGCGCTCTGTCGGCGCTCTGGTATCGGGAGAGGTGTTTGAATCCATAACAAATTGGAAGGGAGGGGACCTTTTCAAACTCCAAAGGGGCATACGCGACAAATCCACGGGCCGCCAGTTTCGAACTTGGGCGATTGATGCCACAAAGCGAGAATGACATCTCTGCTTTTTTGGGAAGCAAGAACACATGGTTTCCGTGGTTTTCGTCAGATGCAGGGAAGATCCGGCATCACGGCATAAAAAAAGAACTTGATAAGATTGGTAGAGGTCCTCCTTCAGCGACCCTTGTTCATCCCTGCGCTCACAACACGTTAGTAACATCCAAACACAAAAGGTTCGCTCCCATTCTGAATAAAGCATAGGCGACACCTGGTCCACCCGTTTTCAAATGGTAGACCGAACTTTTGGTATCAAATGGCAATACAACACCTAGTGACCTGGATGAATTGGTTTACCCTTGTTGCTCTCCTGAAGTAGAAATTCATGCATAACATTGATATACCAATCCGAGTCGTCATGCCCCATCGAAACATAACGAGTGGATATTTAGTGGATAGGGCACGCATACATGTGAACCTTGAAATGCAGTGCGATATGTGTGGAAAAGGAGTGTAAGCAGAAAGTGATCGCGAAATAACTGCGAAACAAGAAGACATTAAAGGAGTGCAAGAGGACAAGAGGGACAAGAAGCAATTGCGCTACAGGGCAAATTCAAAAGTGAATCTGCCTAAAAACGAGCAGAAACCATTGGAATGTAAGACCAAAAGAAGGAGCGAGCCAGAGATCTGCATAGATTCAGCAAATGTGCTAAAACTTACTTGAGGGAATCTTGTGGACATGTGGGTCCGCCCAGATTCGAACTGGGGACATCTTCGGTGTAAACGAAGCGTGATAACCACTACACTACGAACCACTTCATAATTGCATAGTCATTGGCTAAATATATTCTGAGCAAAGGCGCGACTTTCTTGCATTTTCTTGCATTTTCGTGGTCGTACTTGTACCACATTAAAAGCATTCTTGCAATTTCAAACTCCGAAAACTCCGCAAGTAGGAACTCCACCGAGTGCTAAGTTACGCTAATAAGTGACCAAGTCTGTCAGTTTACATCCCATGTCGGTAGGTTTGAGAGGGAAGGTCGATCTCAGAATCATGGTTCGGTTATCCAACCTACCCTGCGACCTAGGTTCCATCAGTCCCTCTGCTTCAAATATCCAGCGTTGGCGACCCCCTAGTTATTGTGTAAGTGAGAAGAACTGAATGACCAAAGTGGGTCTCTCTTCTGATATAACCTCTTTGAGTATTGAAGTCACACTGCCCTGATGTACATCCCATCTTCTGCATAGGGAAAATATCCGCCGGCAAGAAACATACCCCCGCGGTCCTCAAGAAAGCTCAAAGATGATTTCAACAGTCCCAAAGTCTGGCTAGATCTTTATGTTAATCCGTTCTGCGACATCAGCCGTGTGATTAATCCTGCCCATGTCCTCGGTAAACGATGTTGGGGGTTCTTCATTCCCACTCTTTGCCCCTGAATTATCCAAAATCATCATTCATTCACACCCCTTCCCAGGCGGGTCGTTGGAGTCTTTTCGACTGTCTATATATAACCCGTCGTCCTTCTCTCCCAAAAAGTCTGCAAGGAACTCATCCGAGCTCTTCTTCAGTAACCCTTCTCCAGCGCTGTCTTATCCCAACATCAATGAGAAGCTGAAGTTTCTTCCCCCACGCGCACATAATTAATCTCTAGCTATAGTTATGCAGCATTTTTTGTAGCCCCCTTTGTCC